CGAAGCAAAGTCAAAAGATTCCGAGAAAAAAAAAAAAAAGAAACCTACCAAAGTTTTCTGGTTTTTAGGAAACAAAGACTAGCCAGAAGGAGAGGCCTTAAATGAACAAACAAACAGAAAACAGTATATGACAGTCAGGAATGGAGTAGTGAAGTGATAGTGGAGATCTACAGCACAGTCACTCCTGGTGACAGTGACTGATTCTGAGAATAGATAGAAGCTAAGAAAGCAAGTTTGTCCCTTGGCAGATGGCCGTGACTTCAGACAGAAAAACTAGTAGTGATTTTACTGTTCACAACGGAAAAAATGACAAAACTGGAGAATGGTGGGATCTTAAATACGTGGCTGGTATCACCCTCAAGACATTTGCCGAACTTTGACTCTATATGTAGTAAGATGCTAAATAATCAAAATGAAAATAAGTCAAGGCAAGAACTGAATATCCATTTAAAAGAAATTAAAAGAGGGAGCCCTTTCTAGTGAGAGAGAACTTCATCTAGACCTCTGTGGTTCTTTTATACACAAGATCTGACATCTAATAAAAAAAAAATTACAAGATTTTCAAAAAGGCAAGAAAATATTATCAATAATCAAGAACAACAGATTCACACAAGAGATCCAGATACACAAATGATCCATATATGGGGTTACCAGAACAAGACTTTAAAACAACTATGATAAATGTGTTCAACAATTATAAAAAACAGATAAAATAGAAGTTATAGTTAAGAATTTCACCAGAAAAATTGAATCTCAAAAAAAAAATAGACATTCTAAAACTGAAAAGGTATAAAACCTGAAATTAAGAACTCAATGGATAGGTTAAAGAGCAGATTGAAATAAAAAATGTAGTTTTGATGAGGTCAAAGACTGGTCAATACAAAAATACAACACTGAAGCACAGACACAAAATACAATAGAATAATAAAAACAGATAGATGGATGAATAAAATGTGTTACATGCTCAACAGGACAAGTGTATGTGGAACTGGAGTCGTGGGATGAGAGTGGAGAACGAAAGGGACAAAAACAAAACAAAACCTGGAAAACTCAGGACGGGATAAACACAAGCAAAGGCATATCATAGTCAAAATGCTGAAAACAAAGATGAAGAGAAAATATTAATAGTAGCCAGAGAAAGAGAGCAACAACAATAAGCCAGGCAGTTAACCTCTTAATAGAAATAATGGAAGGCAGAAGTTCATGGTATTTCATTTTGAAAATTACAAACAAAAATAGCTGCCAAAATAATATTCTACGTCCAGTAAAAACATTTTTCAAAGATTAAGGTAAAATAAAAATATTTAAGTAAAATCAAACTTCAGCAATTCATCAACAGCAGCAGGCCTGATGTAATGGAAGTGATAAATGACAGCTCTGATGTATGTGTGTGTATATGTGTGTGTATATATATATGCATGTATATATATATATACACACATACATACATGCATATATATGTTATATGTGTATGTATATATGTATACGCTAATCAGATTTGCTGATGTATTAGATGCAGTGCGTAAGAGAATGAGAGGTTTCAAGCATGGCTTCAGGGGTTTTTTGTTTGTTTATTTCGGCTTTTTATTTTGAGATAATTTCACACTTAACTACAAGCCTGAAAAAGTAGTACAAAAGATCACTGCATACACTTTACCTAGATTGCTTAAATGTTAAACTATCATATTTGCTATATTCTCCTCCCTCTGTCTCCCTCTCTCTTTCTCTTTCTCTCTCCCTTTCCCTTGCTCTCTCTCTCTCTCTCTCCCTCTCTCGTGATGTTTGTCTTTGTGTCCAAGAAATTTGGTAGGTTGTCAAAATTCTTTAAAAAGTGAATTGAAGTTGCTTTCCTTCAAAAAGTATTAGTATTGTTACTAGGCAGACCATTATTACCCTTGAACTACTTTAAATACATTTTTGAATGCAACACTTTTGACTTTGCTATTAGGCAGGGTTTGGGCTGTAAGCTTAAATGAGGGCTCATTGGTGACTACAAATACTCAAAGGAGATTTTTATTTTCTCCTCCATCTTTTCAGAGATCAAGACTAGTGCATGGAAGGCAAATTTTACCTCAACCCATCTTCGGTTTTCAAGTGGGTCTTTTGAACAAAAAGACAAATTGACAAGAGAAAAACAGTTTATTAACACATGCAGTGCATATCACTCGGGAGAAATCGAAAACAGAAAGTAATTCAAAGTGGAAGCTTAGAAATGCAGCTTCTATAGCACCTTCAACAAAGAACAATACATATGTAGGGAAATTACAGGATCAGTACAAGTAATTTTAAGATTCCAAAGGTGACAAACTGCAGGAAGGTGAATATGTGGGAGGAAAGTAAGAGTCAAGTTTGTTTGCAGATTCCTCTGGTGCTGTTTCTAGGCTGATAGGAGTCTGTCTCCAGTAAAAGGAGAATTTATATCTTGCCTTTAGGCAGAAAAGGGAAGGGTAGAGAGAACTTTTCCTGCATTCGCTGCCTCTTTTTTTGTGTGTGTGATAAAAGGAAACCATCGATAGGTTTTTTTCCCTTCAGGTTTATTGAGATATAATTGACATATAACATTGTGTAAGTTTAAGGTGTACAACGTATATATTGCAAAATGATTACCACAATAAGGTTAGGTAACACATCTGTCACCTAACATAATTACCATTTCTTTGCTGTAGTGGTGAGAATATTTCAGATTTACTCACTTAGCAACTTTCAAGCATACAGTCCAGTATTGTTACCTATCATCACCATACTGCACAGTAGATCCTCAGAACTTATTCATCTTATAATCGAAAGTTTGTATCCTTTGACTGAAATCTCCCCATTTCCCCCACCCCCTACCCCCTGGCAACCACCATTCTACTCTCTGTTTCTGTGAATTTGGCTTTTTTAGATTCCACATATAAGTGAGATTATATGGTATTTGTCTTTCTGTTCTGGTTTATTTCACTTAGCATAATATCCTCCAGGTTCATCCATGTTGTCACAAATGGTAAGATTCCCTTCCTTTTTTTGGCTGAATAATGTCCAATTATTTGTATATATCACATTCTTTTATCTATTCATCTGTCTATGGACACTTAGATTGTTTCCATATCTTGACTTTGTGAATAATGGTGCAATGAACATGGGGGTGCAGATAACTCTTTGAGATAGTGATTTCAAGTTGCTTCTTAATTGTCTTCAGCTCAAAATAGTTTTCAAGTTAAAGAGGCGTATTTTAGGGTGACATATTCTGATTTTCTTGGGTCCCTGTTATTATTTCCTGAGGTGTAGGCTTTATTTGTTTTGTTTTGTTTTGGCTGAGGAATATTTGCCCTGAGATAACATCTGTTGCCAATCTTCCTATTTTTTGCTTCAGGAAGATTAGCCCTGGGCTAACATCCGTGCCAATCTTCCTCTATTTTTGTATGTGGGTCACTGCCAGAGCACCGCTGATGAGTGGTGTAGGTCTGCGCTGGTGATGGTGACCTGAACCCATGAACCCAGGTCACTGAAGCAGAGTACACCAAACTTAATCACTACTCCATGGGGCCAGTCCCTGTTATTTCTTATATGAGATTGTAGCCTTTGAGGGTCCCAGTTTTAGAAAGACCACTTGTATTTAACCCTTTAGGTTAGGTGGCCCCTAGACTTTATCTTGTGTTCCCAGTGCCCTGCAACAACCATCAAAACAGAAACTAAGTTTCCACAAGTTTATTATAAACTCTCAGAATGAACGCCAGTTTCTGTGGTCTTTTTTCTCTTGAGGTTCCCATTTTCACTGAATTCTGAGATTCTACAAAATTGTTACCTTCTTATTGGTTTAGCAATGTTTTCCCCAAGCTATAATATACTGTACAATAATATTATGAATCTTTTTTAGTTATTTTCAGGCTATCTTCCTCATTTCTAGAAACAGAAGCATAGCCCAATTTATATTGCTTTGTTTTTTCAAAGCACATATATGTGCTTCTTTGGGATGCTTTCTATTATTTAAATATTTAATAATAAAATCTTAAAGCAAATGTGACTAAATATTCAATTTTGTTAATTCCGGGTAGCGCATATTACAACTTTACACAATAGTTTAAAAATTAATTTGGACCAAAACTGTCCTTGACCCTTGATTGACTATGTAGAAAATAAACAACTTTCTCCATGGCATTTTATACTAATTTCCTCTTAAAATGCTATTCAACCCACATCTCCAAGAAACACACAACTGGCAATTGCACTTAGAATAAAATCCAAAATTATTAATAGGGTCTATAAAGCCCTGCATGGTTTAGCGTCTCCTTATCTCTCCAGCACTTGTTATGCTCCTCGTCTTCTCCATCATTCTGCTCCCATCAAACTGGCTTTCTTTAGAGTCACAGACTCTTCCAATGTCTGCACATTTGCAACTAATGTTCCTTTTGCCTTGTAAGTCTTCCCCAAGCTCCATTCTTATTTTTCTGTGTTTTGTAGCAATCAGTGCCATATTCTCAATGCATGGAGTAATTCAGTTTCTGTCAAACATGACATGTGCTATATTAAATTAGTAGTGGCATTCTGAAACTATGAGGGTGTATTTGTTGATTTTTCTACTTTTATTTTGAAAAATTTCAAATACAGCCAATTTAATGAACCCTCAAATACCCTTCACTCAGCTTTAAGTTTCACTTTCAAATGTTTTGAGTTAGAAAGTTCTAAAAGCCTTATTAGTTTAATTTGCATGCATATTTAATAAAATCATAGTTTAAAATTTAGTTCAACCTTCGATATCATCAACAGTTTAATAAATTTAAAAATAAATCTGTTCATTACTCAAAAATTTAAAAAATTAAAAAAAATATTGTTATAGAAACTAAATTCTTTAGTTGTTGGCCTTTATTCCCTGCAAGGTTATTTTTTGATGTGTGTCATAGATGGAAAAGATAATTCAATAATTATTGGTGGAATTTTCTGCTGGAAGTTTTCTTCATGGAGAACAGTCAGAGAATGGCTTTTGTGTCTTTATATCCTTTAAATTTATAAATCATAAGCTCTTCACACAATCCTCTGCATGCAGATGTATGTGTTTGGCGTTAAACAGTTTTCTGTATAACCTTTAAAACTTGAGCCATAAACTGCACACGTTCCATTCTGCATTTCAACCATTGTTAGTCTAGATTGGAGAGAAGGACAAATCACATTCATGACCTTATTAATGCAGGAATATAAAAGCAAAATAACATTTATTTAGGTATAGCTACTGTAATAACTTCATTTCAGGAGATTTTAGGACCATGTCTGGTCTTTCTTATTCACTGATACGCAAAATATAGCCAACTCAGATAATAAAAGTAAAAATTACATTCTATTATAAATTATGTGCCACTGTTTTTTATACATTGGAAATTAGTCAACTTAGAAAATCTGGAATCTCTTTATATTTATAACTGAGTGAAATGAAAGCTTTAAAATGATTTTTAGAACAAATATTTAGATTAGAAATGAATTCAGAATTCAATTTAGAAGTCAATATATGTGTTTTGTGCAAAAAATAAACAATATTCTTAAGATATATGGAATTTTACTTGGTAAAGAAATAAAATAAACTGTAAAATCCCCTAATGTACACACACAGAGTGTGTGTGTGTGTGTATTTGTGTGTGTGTGTTTAGGCATTCCATGTAGACATAGTTATATCTGTATATCTATTTTGCCCTGGGATCTTGAGTATTTTGTAGTTACATAATTAATATAATAAATGGTGATTTGTTTTCTGCCAGGAACAGGTGGGAAATAGAATGATGAGGGAAGAATGACGATTCTACACCAATGTGAAATTGACAAACAAAAGAAAGGACCATCGTCTCATAGTATATCTATGTAAAAGGACAGGAGAATGAACTCCGTCTATATAGAAACAACTAGCCAGTATAAGAGAAAAAACTTAAGAGATTTTTAGTAATTGGTCTTAGTTGGTCTCAATCTATGCATATCCGAGCCTCACTTTTTCTAATCTCCCTTTTTTCATCTGTCCTTTCAATTTTTGTGTCTATTTTCCCATACTACTCTCATAACATTTCTACCAGAGTACTATTTACACTGGACTATACTTATTTGTTTGTACCTGTACCTCTGGCTGAAGTGTAATGCTCTTGAATGTCCTATTCAGGTCTGTAGTTATCTCTGCATACTTCTTGGAAACTGAGTAACATTCAAAAATATTTATTAAATGCATAAACAGAAATTTAGTATGCTAGTAGTTTTGCTCCCAAAAGGAACTTTTGTACCTATAGATTGAGAAATATTAAGATAAGGTGATACAAAATTTTATTAGTATTTACAGAGAATAAACTCTTTTTTGTAAAAAATAAAATCTCAAGCCATACAGAAATGAGGCCATAGCAAATTAGTTCTAAGGTATAGTGGGAACTCCAAATTTCAAATATATAATTATGTACAAAGATATGTAGTCCCTGTTACAATGAACACAAGGAGAAATTTGAAAGGAATATATGACAGTAAAAGGTTGTGCCTTTATCACTGCTAACTAACCATTAAAATAGCAAAGTAAATTTAAAAATCAGTGAAAAGAGTTTTTTTTTTAATTGTTTAATGCTAATTCTGGCTATAGAGTCAGAAAGACATGTATTTGAATCCCTGCTGCAATTATTACTAATTTTATAGCTTAGGAGAATTATTATACACTCTAAGACTCTATTCCTCACCAGCAAAATTAAGTTAAAAATAATATTTTTAATAGGGTGTTTAAGAGTGGGGTTAATAGGGTTTTTAATGAAAGGATACATGTGAAATGCTTAAAACTGTGTTTGACAGAGAGGAACACTTAATTAACCTAACATTAACATTGATGTTGTTTATTACTTATTAAACACTTAAATAAGCAAATATACATTTACATCAAATAAGTAAAATATATTTGAAATAAAGAATTAAAAACATTTACAATTTAGAGAACTTCTGCTTCATCTGTGATATTATGAAACCAAAAGAAAAGAGAAGCGACAAACCACTTGTTTTATTCCTGATCTTTGTACCAGAATGGAGAAATTACTAAACAGTGTAGCAATAGGCCAGATCTTCAAAATGATAGAAATGACCTTTGTAGAGAGCTACCCTAGCATTCGTCCAAAGGATTAAGGCTATATTCATTAGCTCTATGACTAGTAAGATACTATCACTTGGTCCTGGTGTATAGTGTTAAGCTGTATAATCAAGTGGTTAAGAGAGCATACGACAGAAACAGAGTATATAGGATATGTGAGAGTTCAGAAACACAAAGACAGCTCCAGCTCCAGGACACAGCACTTGAGATGAGAAAGTTGAACAAATAAAGAAATCTGAGGATATGCAGAAGGTCCTACTTAAGCACTCAGCAGAGTATTGATCAAGGCATGTGTGAAAGAACTCTTCAAGGGCAAAGAAAGAACTATTAAAAAAGGTTTAGAGGGAAAAATATCTAGTGTTTACAATGGGTCTAGAATCATATCAATTTTCACCAGTAATATTATAAACCTTGTATTTCACAAAGCTTTGGGTAGATTACTTAAAAGGAGCTTGGCTCAGTAGTGGGAGATAATTAACTCTAGACTGAACATCCTAACTAATAATACTTAAAAGCAAGACCAAAATGAATCAAGCTGTTCTCAAATAACTTATCTGTGTCTCAGAAAAAAAATTCATGAATATTTATAGAAGTAAAATATATGCAGCATCAAAGAAAGTAAAATTCACAGTGTAGAATTTCAATTAAAAAGTACCTGGCAAGGAAAAAAACAGAATAATATGACCATAATGAGAAGGAAATCCATAAACCAAAACTGATCCCGAACTAACACAGATGTTAGAATGAGCAGACAAGGACATTATAACAGCTATTATGACTGCATTTCATATGTTCAAAAAGTCAAGTTAATACATGAAAGACATATATCAGCCAAGTCAAACTTCTACAAGTGAAAACTTCAATGTCTGAGATGAAAAATACACTTCATAGGACTAATGAAAGATTATACATTGCAGAAAAAAAGATTAGTGAACTTGAATTCAGGATGATAGAAAATATCCAAGATCAAACACGAAGAGGAAAAAAATGAGCCAAGTACCAGTTAACTTTGTCACAATTTCAATGAGCTTAATGTATTTGTAATTGGAATGTCTGAAGGAGAGGAAAGAGTAATGGGGGAGGGGAACATGTTTGAAGAAATAATGGCAGTACGTTTTCTAATTTAGGTGAAAATTATAAACTTATAGATTCAATAGCCTCAACAAAACAAGCACAAAAAATATAAAAAAGTAACCCAAGGCATATTACAAACAAATTTCTCAATTCCAATGATAAAGAAAAACTATTAAAGCAGCCAGAGGAAAAGAAGACATATTACATACAGTGGAACAAAGATAAGGATGGCAGTAGATATCTTAGTGAAACAACAAAAGTGAGGAGAAACTTACTGAAAGTACTGACAGAAAAAAAAACCCCACAGCCTCTCAACCTAGACGTCTATAAAGAGTGAAAATATCTCTCAAAAATTAAGATGAAGTAAAGACTTTTTCAGTATAAAAGCTGAAATAATTTATCACCAGAAGAACCAGACTACAAGTAATGTTAAAATAAATCCTTAACATAGAAGTAATATGATGCCAGATGGAAATATGGATCAACAAAAAGGAGGGAATTTCACTGGAAATGGTGACTACGTGAATAAATATATAATCTTTTCTTATTCAAAGTTCTTTAAAAATTGGCTGTTTAAATAAAATAAATAGTAATAAAGTGTGAGATTTATAACATACATAAAGGTAAATTGTATGATTAAAATAGCACACAATGAAGAATACTATACCCAGCAAAATTGTCCTTCAGAATTGAAGGAGAAACAACGACATTCCCAGACACACAAAAGCTAAGGGAGTTCATCACCACCAGACCTGCCTTACAAGAAATGCTAAAGGAAATTTTTCAAGTTGAAATGAAGGATGCTAAGAAACAACATGAAAACATATGAAAGTATAAAACTCACTGGTAAAGATAAATATATAGTCAAATTCAGAATACTGTAATACTGTACTGTGATGTTAAAAATCACTTTTATCTCTAGTGTAAAAGTCAAAAAAAACCCCAATAATATTAAAAATAGCTATAGCTACAATAATTTGTTAATGGATGCATAACATAAAAAGATATAAAGTTTGACATCAATAGTATAAAATGGGAAGAGAAGAGAAGTAAAAGTGTAGAGTTTTTGTATGTTATTAAAGGTGAGTTATTATCAGCTTAAAATAGACTCATATCTGTAAGATGTTTTATGTAAACTTCATGGTAACTATAAACAAAAAATCTATAGTAGATACACAAAAGATAAAAAGAAAGGAATAAAACAACCCTACAAAAAATAAATCAGAAAGGAAGACAAGAGAGGAAAAAAGAAATAAAGGAACTCAAAAAATTAGAAAACAGTAAATAAAATGGTAATAGTAAGTTCTTACCTGTTAGTAATTACTTTAAATATAAACAGACTAAAGTCTCCAATCAAAAGACATAGAATGTCTGAATGGATAAAAAACAAGATCCAACAATATGCTGCCTACAAGACAGTCACTTTAGCCTTAAGGACACACATTGGCTGAAAGTGAATTGATGGAAAAAGATATTCCGTGCAAATGTTAATCAAAGAGAGCAAGAGTAGCTATATTTATATCAGATAAAACAGACTTTCAGTCAAAATCAGCCACAAGAGACAAAGTCACTATATTTGATAAAGGGTCAATTAATCAAGAGGACAAAAACAATTGTAAATATATATACACACAACGTTGACTGCACCTAAATATTTTAAGCAAATATTAACAGAATTAAAAGGAAAAATAGATAGCAATACAATTATAGTTGTTGTTAGTGCCATCAAAATTCCAACTCCTAGTGACCCTGTGTACAGCAGAGTGGAACCCTGCCCCGTCTTTTTTGTGACATCCTCTCATCTTCCGGTGCTATATCAGACAAAGCCCCGCTACTATTCATAGGGTTTTCATGGCCAATATTTTTGGAAGTGGGTGGCCAGGTCCTTCTTCCTAGTCTGTCTTGTCTAGAAGTTCTGCTGAAACCTATCCACTATGGGTGACCCGGATGGTATTTGAAATACCAGTAGCATAGTTTTTCAGCACCACAGCAATATGCAGCCACCACAGTATAACAACCAACAGATGGTTAGTGTGGTTCTCTACCAGAAAATGAACTTGGGCTGCGGTGGTGAGAGTGTGGAATCTGAACCACTAGAACACAAGGGCTGGCTACACACATACTAGAATGGCTAAAATTTAAGAGACTAACCATAACAAGTGTTGACCAGGATGTAGGGCAACTAGAACTCTCACACACTGCTAATGGGAATGTGAAATCGCACAACTACTTTGGATAATAGTTTGACAGTTTCTTAAAAAGTTAAACGTATACTTATCATATGATCCAACCATTCCACTCCCAAGGATTTATGTAGGGAAAAAAAGCCTATATTCATACAAAGACTTGTACAGAAATGTTCATAACAAGTAGCTTTATTTGTAATAGTCAACAACTGGGCATTAACCAAATATCCATCAACAGATGAAAGGATAAACAAATTGAACACACCCATAAAAGGAATCTTCTCAAGAATAAAAAGAAATTAACTCTTTATACAAGCTCTGAGTTGGCTGAATCTCAAAATAATTATGCTGGGTGAAAAAGCCAGATGTAAAAACAGTACATACTGTAGGACTTCATTTATATTAAATTCTATGAATTGTAAACTAATCTGTAGTGACAGAAAACAGATTAGTTGCCTGGAGACAGAGAGAGGTAGGTAGGAAAGGGCATGAGGGAGGGATTACAAAGATGTGAAGGGAAAGTTTTGTAGGGGGTACGCATATTAATTATCTAGATGTTATTAATTGTTTTGTGCATGTACACATTTGTCAGAATTTATCAAATTGTATACTTTAAATATGTGCAGTTTATGGAATCGATTATATCTCAACAAATCTGGGAATAACTTCAAAATAGAATATGATACTTAACTTCTCTGGTTTAGTCTCCTTATCTATAAAATGTGCATAGTTTTAGAACTATCTTGCACAATTATTGGCACATAGCAAACAATGAATGTTACTCATTATTATTGGTATTGGCTGTTCTGCTCCACAATCTCCTAAACTAAGACCCTAAGAGTGTTTTGCTGAATCTATTGGAATATGGAAACATCTTGGGCATTGTGTGAAGGAAAATGTGACAGCTGTAGGGATAGCTTAGGAGCAAATCCACAAATAGAGGCCTATTGTTACAGACTTACTGGTTGGGCAAGAGAATGGAACCATCTTCCCACTGCCAAGATCCATTTGTTGGAATTCGTACTAGTCCTATCCAATGATATGACTTCACCAATTTAAAGAAATCCTGTTTGAAACCACAAATAGAGTTACTGTTAAGAATTTTAATAAATGCAAGGTGATAATCATTTAAATACTCTTTTCCTACACTTGGAGAAAATGCATTCTATCCTCTGGCATAATTCTGACTTAAACACATATGTAATACCTGCAATTTCTGTGTTTTCTTATTTTTAATGCACCAAGATTTGGGGTTGGTATATCTGAGTCTTGGTGCCTCTCTTATGTTTACAGTTCGTATTCCAGTGAGTTGCCTCATATGCTAGGACTAAATATAGGAAAGGGAATTGAAACATATACTCAACCTGGTCCTCTCTGCTGTATATCTTCAGGAGACTGGAATTTTGAGACATACAAGAAGCTTGACTCTGGTACCAGCTTTTGCTCTCATTAAAAAATTGGTAGCAGTTATTTCTATAACATAACCAGTTTTTAGGACATGGCCCACAGTAACTTTCTAGAAAGGGAGAATATATTATTAATTCTGTACAGGTCTGAGCATTATAGCAGATTTTTTCTAGACAGGTTCAATACCTTTTCTATTCCAACTCTAAAATTCCAGATAATTAAACCATTATAGTCATATCCAATGACATATTTCTACACATTCATAAAGAGAGAAAGAGAGCCAAAACTAAATATCCTCTACTTTATAAAAGTAATCTCTTAATATTAAAATATAAAAAAACCCCACTACAGTTAATTATGGACAAGAATTAATCATTTTCTTATACACTCTCTTGTGAACACTATTGGATACATGCCTATACCCAATATATATAGATGTATGCAACTGGTGCTTCAAAATTAGAAAATTTTCACTTACCTTTCAAAGAAATTGGAGCTCCTTGGTTGAATAATGCTATTAAAATAATCATAATTATTAAAAGGGCTTGTGTTAGTAGCTTATAGTCCAAACAAAAGTAGTTGACAAATTTCTAGACTAATAGCAAAAATATAAGGACACATTCAGCATTGCTATTTTATGTTTCTATACTTCTGAATACTAATCAAAGTAATGCATTATAATCGTTAGATCAACAATGCTATCTAATTCTCTATCACTTACAATTTATGATTATGGCACTGCATATCATTACCATTACAAGGAAACGGATCGCCATAGCTACAGCAATGGAACGAGCAAGGAAAAACGGAGATTCTGTCAAAGAAAAAAGAGTGAGAAAGATGAGAAAGGATAAAGTGTTCTGGTATCTTCATGTTTAATATAAACATTAGAGTGTTTTATGGGAGGGGATGATATCAGTGCTTTTTGTCTAATTATTTTTATCAGAACAGCTAACACAAGTACTTTGTAAATGATTAAAAAATAAGAGCATAAAAATGTAATATTCCCTCCTATTCCTCTCCAAGAGTTCTGTAGTCTCTCCCCTTGAATAAAAATCATGGTTATCATTTTGTGAAATTTTCCATGCAGATATAATAATAAATATGGACAGTTCCCTCAACCCCCTTTTTAAACACTTAAGAAACTATACAAAGTATTCTCTGATTTTTTTCGCTTCAGAAAATATCCTAGTGATTATTCCATATCATGTCTTATAAAGTTGTCAAATTTGTATAAATACCTGTATTGTGTTTCATTGGTAAATGGGCAAAATTTAATATTTGACACTTTCAATTTTTTTAATGCATGTATAAATTATTTCTCAGTTTTTGCTATTATATATAGTGATATGAATAATATTTTCAGTACCTATTTAGAAAATATTCCTGAAAGGATAATTGCTGAGTCAAAGGGCATGTGCATTTAAAATTTTTGTAATCATTGAAAATTTCAGTCCAGAGTCTATACCAAAATCAAATTTAAAAGCCTGTTTGCTCACACCTTCCCCTGCACTAAATATTATTTACATTTTTTAAATGTATAAATCTGATAAGCAATATTATTTTTTAAATCTGAACTTTATTTTTCCTGTTGTGAATAAGATTGTACCTCTTTTACTATGATTAAATACTGTTTTTATTTTATCTCTGTGAGACTTCTCTTGTTTGTGTTAAGTAGCTGGTTTGTTTCTTACTTTTTAGGTTAAGAATATTAGTTCATTTCTTGTCATATGTTTTGCAAATAAATGTCTCAGATACTATTTCTGTTTTAACATTATTTACGATACTTTTGGAGTGCTGAAGTGGGTAATGGTCGACTTGATCAAACTTTCCTTTGTGACTTATGTTTTTTTTGATATGAATAAAACCCTTCATTATTCTGAGTTTATAATATCATGATGTTATGTGGTTTCCTTTTTTATTTGGTCTATTTGGTGTTTTTTTTGTATGTGTGTTTATGTGTATGTAATAAATAAGGTAGGAATTAAAATTTATAACAATATTTCTTTTCCAAATGTGCACTGAATTTTCTAACATTATTTACTGAATAAATCAGTGTGTTCTCATTGATATAAAATATCACTTTTAGCATATAATGCATTCTATATATATTTGCACTTATTCCTACATTTTTTAATCTGTCTTTCCACTCAAACTATATGTAAAATTTCCTTAGCTTTATAATATGTTTGAGTATTTGATAGTGCCCACAATGTTATATTACATTTCTTTTTCAGAATATTTGGCTATCATTATAATTCATATGTGCCTTTTAAGAACCAGCCAATTTTAAAACGTGGTACATGGGTCTTTCAATAGAATCACATTAAATGAATAACTATATGGAGGTAGTAACATTCTTAAAATGTTGTTTTCATCTTTGAATAGTTTCTATTTCCATTATGCCTGTCATTTTATGTTCATCAGTACAACTTAATTTAATAAATTTATTTCTAGGGTTTTTAGTTAAAAAGTTTATATCTATTTTTTTCTGATTTTTGGTCTTATAAATATGGCATTTTTTAATCACATTTTTCTTGTTTTTGTAGTTATTAAGACAATTGATTTTTATATCTCATTTTCAATCAAGTCCACATATCAGATTTCCTTATTGTTTGCAATATTCTGAGGTGAAGCTTTTGAGGTTTTTTAAATATTTTAAATCACATATTTTTGCAAATAATGTTAATTTTGCCTTTTTATTCTAATTTCATATCATTTACTTTTTTCCTTTTCTTGGTTCTTCATGTTGGTTAGCACCAGCAAAGCAATCAATATTACTCGATAGTAATAATAGTAAAACTTCTTGCCTTTTCCTAACTATAATGAAAATGCTGCTAGCATTTATCAATAATGATAGCTTTTTAATATATATACACATCTGAAAAGCAATATTTATATTTTACAGGTTTTAAAAATTAAATGGTTTTTAATTAAGAATTCATATTGATTTTTATCCAAAGCCTTTTCAACATTATATATATAATCATACAATCTTTCCCCTTTGATTATTACATATAGCACATTTCATTCCTATAATTAACTCTTGTAAAGTGATGTTATTTAATAATCATTTATTTTTTAGCATTTAATCAAAATTCATAGGTCAGAGTAGTTTGTTGTTTTCCTTTTTGTGTAAGCTATTTGAGGCTCAACTTTCAATGATATTTTGGCTTGATAAAAGAAAGCATATCTTCTTCACCACACTCAGAAACATTTCTCTGAATAGCAATCAAGTCATTGCCTCCACACTGTTTAGGAACATAACTCAGAAGGATATTTTGTATGTCTTTTCTTTTCTGTTTTCCATTTCTATTTACACCTCCCTAAAGCTAGTTGTTCAATGATATCTTAGAAACTACTGTCTCAATTGTCATTATTATGATAATCTCATCATTTTTAGGGCATGAGAAGATCCTAAACTCAACAATTTCTGCTAATTTTATTATACATTCCAATATTATATTAACCAATCTCTTTTCTGATTTCCTCACCAGGGTAAAATAAACTGAATGTTTATCACTGATTTAATCATACAGTTTACAAGATTCACCTCACTATACTGAGAAAAGAAGACAAACGGAATATAGGACTTAACTGTTTTCTCCACATTTACTTGTGATTAATGTAGGTCTTCTCTTCGGCCGTCGTGTAGAAGTACCACGTTTTACCAGCTCAAAGTTGTAATTAGGGAATTCACTCATCTCTGGAGAAAAACAATTCAGGTCAACGTGAGTCATGGCCTTTCTGCCACTTGGGTCATAAATTTTTACAACTTAACATGCCATTTCCATTCATATCCTTTTAAAAGTATAACATCAAGTCACTTTTGTTTTATATTACTTCGTTATTACGATTTTATACTTTGTAATATAAATAAAATTATATTTAAGCTATGGAAAATTATCTTTAGCAAGATCTTATGTAGTGTTAAAATAGGTTAATTCTTAATGTGTAAAGAAATCTAACATTAAAATAAAGACGTGTATAATGAAAAAGACAGGGGCCTAGGGATTTAGACATGTGTTTAATTCACAGAGCCACATTTACTAAGTTAATAACTTCACAAATTACAATAAAAAGAAAGAAAGAAGAACGAAAGATATCAACACAACTTGCTATAGGTATTTTAAAAAGTGAAAGAAAATAATATACTGTTAGTATTAATAATGTTAATCATAGTAAATAGTAAATGCTAGTGTGTCTAATTTTTTTTATAGTGAGGGACATACAAAGAATAAAATAGTAGGGTCTAAAATTTCAGGATAAAGACAAATAAAGAATCTTGCCTCTGAACAAAACAAGTAAAAAATCATTTTTGCTCTTTTCTTGATATAGTAATCATTACTGAATATGTAAAAGCCTTTTATAAATAAAATGCTAATACTAATTACCTTTTCTTCCTAAAATTAAACTAAAACGTTTTTTGTACATACAACATGTAATTTAATCATTAAACATGTGAAAAGGGTAGGCATTATTTTATGGATGAAGAAATTGAATCTTAGAGGTAGCCAAAATCATATTGCTTATTTAACATAATGTTACCAACTGTGAGTAATTTATAGTACTTTTAGTTTAAGAAGCACTTTCAAATATGTCACTTGATTTAAATATCATAGAACGCCACTAAGGTAAATATGGCATATTTTTCATCTCTGTTTGATAGAAAAGGAAACTTAAGTGCGTACAGGGTGTAGATTGCCTTAGATCTCAAAGCTAGAGACTGGTAAAACCTTGAGTGAAATTCACTTCTTCTAACTCCAAATCCTAATGCTGTCACTATTTCAGGCTGCCTCAAATAATGAGACACTTTAGGTAGTTAATGAAATGAAAAGGAAAAAAGTTTTCAAGTTTTTGAGGACTTGATTTAAAATATAACATAAACATAACATGAAACGAACATGAACATAAGTGAATCCAAGTAAATTGTTTTCCTATGCCTTATATGCTTGTATGAAATCCCTGGTATCTTTAAATTATACACAGGCCAAACTACATATTTATGTGTGAATACATACCCATGCTGTGATGAGCCCATCGATCTCGGACCAAACCCATCAGATAATTATAACTGCTTGTCTACTCCAGGGGTAAATCCAAAGTCTTCATTTTACAAAGGATTCCTAAATAAAATAAAATTGGGCATTTACCTTTTTTTCTGTTTTCTTTCCTTATGGTGAGATGATATATTTTGATTGGAAAAGTAAGAATACAGAAAAATTTCCCCCAAGCATATATAGAAAAAGAAAGAATAGAAATGAGAATTCATATAACGCCAGGTAAAATTAATGTTTTTATTTCCCTTAGTTGTAAAATAATAAACAATTATTTCAAAAATGTCGAAAATATATAATGGTTGTTGCTAACTCACCTACCTTTAAGAAACTTAGTCAAAAATATTTTCCATTGTTTATATTGAATGACAACACTCATAGTTTTTTACTTATAGTTGTTTTATTTCATTTGGTGATAATTGCTTTCTCTGCAAAGTATTTTGGGTAGACATATAAATTTTTGTTGAATGTTTTTCCTAGTACATTTTAATTCAACTTCTGTCCATATCATCACCATTATTATTTATAAGATATTATCACTATCATCATTAGCAAAAATAATCTCACATTTGTTTATATAGTAACATCTTATAGTGTCTAGCAGAGCTCTCAGAAAAAATAGCTGTTTAGTAATTTGGCAAAGTGCTTAGATTTAAGAAATAAAAACTCTTTCATATTTGATCATAATAGTTGGAAGCAACAGATACAATTTTTTTTCATTTTGCAAGTAAAGCTGTGTATCACAGAAGGTAAGTGCTTTGCACAGAGCAGAAAACTTCATAAGTGTGAGAGTTCAAACTGAAATTCAGTTCTCTAGCCCCAAATGTAAAGATTCATTCTCCTAGTTTTGTTGAGAGATAAGGCTCTATCTTATAGCAACATCATAACTTCTGATTCTTCAATAAGTACATCCTAATTACTTATCATTGAATAAAGTGAAGCAAAGTATACCTCAGAAGTAATAAGCATTCCTTGCTGTCAGTAATTCTATTCAAACACTTAAGAAACAATTAGAATTATCTTATAGTGTAAATATTTTTAGAAACTTTCTTGAGGTTGAAACCTTAAGCATTCCTCGTTTCTTGAATAACAGTTGTTAGAAACACACACACACACACGAACACACAGACACACACCTGATCAGAGAAAGAAGGTCCTGATTCTTGTGGATACAAGCTTCCTATACAACTGGATATTTAGATTTGTCCTGAGTTCCAAAATTAGAATTGAAACTAGAGATGTCCAGTCAATTTCGATCCCTGACAAAGCTACGACAAACGCTATTCTGATCTCATCTTCCTGTTGAAAAAGCAAAGAAAGCACAAACCACAGTGCTTCCACCTATGACTACACAGAAAATTTTGCCAATTGGTGAAATAAATGTTGGATCCTAACATCATTTTATGACTTGAAAATGATGAATTCGGTGACAAGAAGTTTCCCAAGGTTTTGAGAAACAAGTGACGGGATGGTATAATATCTTTCTGAATCAAAAAATATAAAATATGGTTGTAAGTACTGTGTGAAAAAAAACAGAAGAAAATTAAATACATTTCTTAATCATCCAGTGCACACGTTGTCATAGTTTAAGTGGAATCAAGTATGCTGTATCATGTAAGTTGGAACTAATCGAGATATTTTTCCTGTATACACACATACATATACATATGCACACACACATAAATACATATATTTGTATATATATTTATATTTGTATAAACATGACCTTTTACATAGGAAAATACAAAGTTATACAAAATAAAGAATTCCATGATGAACCATAATATGCGTAGCTTAAATAAGTACCAATTTATAGTCAATATTATTTCCTTTACAACACATGTGGATGTCGCAAATCCATCTCTGTTCCTAAATAGGACACTTTTCTCCTTTTTCCTTGTGGACATCACATTATATTACTCCCTCTTTATTAGATAGAATAATAGCACCAAATTTCATGCCAGAATAGAAACATAATCAACTAATATCTTAATGTTTTGATTTTTAACTACTCACAATTTCTGTTTCATTAAGAAAAAGTAAACTGTCACCGCCTAAAGAGACATGACGACTAAATGTAATGTGTTATCTGGGTGGCATAATGGAATACAAAAAGGACATTAGGTAAAAATTAAAGAAATATGAATAAAATATGTTCTTTATTTAATAATAATGTATCCATATCAGTTCATTCATTGTGACAAATCTACCATACTAATGTAAACTGTTAATAATATGGGAAAATGGATATGGAGTATATGAGAACTCTCTGTACTATCTTTGCAATTTTTATGTAAATTTAAGACTATTCTAAAATAAAAATTTCATTTAAAAATAAATAGCTGGAGTTTCTTTAGAATGTCATAATAATAATAATTATAATACAGGTGGGGCACTTTGAAGAAGAAAACAAAAAACCACTCTAAAAGGAAACAGCTAAGAGCAGAGTCACTCATACTAACTTTCACTAAATATGTGCTTGTGAAAACAAAACTTCAGTCAGTAAATTCACGATCCATTCAACCAATAAGAGATAATTATTAGGCAATAATCTTCAGTGAAGAAAACAATTAGACACAGTAACTATTTATATGTATAATATATGATAAAATTAACATAGGCAAATGTTGATTCTGTGAAAGATTAATAAAGATGTACGCCTGAAATTTATACAATGTTATAAACCAATGTTACTGCAATAAACAAAAAATTAAAAAAAAAATAGAGCTAGAATAATTTTTATGAAATCAGTAGGTTATTCAAAATCCTCACACATGGATAACACAAAAGCCAGTTTTACAGGAGAGAAATAATGAACTTTCAAGAAAAAGATCATTATAACTTATACAAATGCTTCTAGACAGTAGGGGGAACAAAAGAGTAGTTGCTATTTCTTTCACTAAAACTAGAATTACTTTGATGCCCAAATTGGAAGAGAATGTGTCAAGAAACAAAAAGGAAAGGTCAATCTCATTTATGAAAATTTTTGCAAAATCCTAGAACAGTGTCGAACTAAATCAAACAGTGTCTAAAACTAATATAGATGACCAAATTGAGTTTATTTCAGGATAGTAATAATAATTTTCTCTTGGAAGAAAAATAATAAATGCAATTTGCTACAAATAATAGATTAAAGAAATAGAACATGATTACATTAACATGGAAAGCACATTTGCTATAGTTCAATACCTTTTCATGATACAAACAATCTTTAGCATACATATTAGGATCTATATAAACATTATTCTTAACTTCAAGATATTAGTAGTCTTTTAGAAAATCGTGAAGGCAAAGTGGTCACTGATACCATTTCTTTTCAATATTACTGCGGGATTCTTCAGCACACTTAAGACCAGCACAGGAAATTAAAGAGATAAGGACTTAAATTTTTTTTTTTTTTTGCTGATGATATGCTTATCCACATACAAAATAAAAACTAATTTAATGACCAGTTAATAGAAATAATAGTAGTATACAGGCCAGCCCAGGTGGCCTAGCCCCAGTGGCCTAGTGGTTAAGTTCAGCATGTTTTGCTTTGGTGTCCTGGGTTGGGTTCCCAGACACAGACCTACACTGCTTTGTTAGTGGCCATGCTGTGCTGGTGGCCCACGTACTAAACAGTAGAAGACTGGCAAGGATGCTAGCTCACGGTGAATCTTCTTCAGCAAAAAAAAAGAAATAGTATAATTAAACGTAGCAATAATTTGCAAAAACTATTATATTAAAAGCCAATAATAAACAGAAACAGTTAATTTTTTTCGTATCCTATTAACAACCACAATGGAAACACTGTAAGGCACTTATGAGTAAATCTAACAGAAACAGACAAGATCTGTATGGAACTTACATAATTTTATAGAAATATTTTCAAAAAGAACTAAATTTTGATAGGACTATGGGATCTCATAAGGGTGTCAATTAATCCTAAAATATCTTGGAGATTCAATTCAATTCTGGTTAATATCCCAGGTTTTGTTGTGAAACTTACAAAGCAGAATCCTAAATGTTCATTAAATTGCAAAGGCCAACAGGTCCATCACTATTGAAGAAGAAGAAAAGGTCAAAGCTTTGTCCTAAAGATATTAAGACCTTTGCTAAAGTTATGTTAAGTAAGACAAAGTGATATGAGAATACAGACAAATCAGACATTGAAAAAGAGAAAAATACAGACAAGAAAAAGTCATGAACATAGATAAAACAATATATGAGGTTGCATTGCACATTAAGTAGGAAAAAGTATACTATTAAATAATTAGTGCTGGAGAATATTTTGTACCAGTATAAAAACATAAAATTGGATCTCTACCATATATACATCATATGCAGAAGAATTGGGAACTTAAATACACACCTCTAGCCTGCATAAAAAATAAGTACTTATGTAAGTGTTGATGCCAATTAGCAAGATTATCTCAGTATACATTTTATTTTATTCATTTATTCAGAATATTAAGATAAAATATAAAGTAAGATAAGATAATCAAAGAACACATGAAATTATAAGGAAAAGTAAAGTTACCAATTCTAAAATCTTAAAGATATACCAAGAATTTCCAAAGGAAGGAAAGCAAATTTTATGTGGTCATATGTTTTGAGTTGGAAAATAGACTAGTTTATTCAACACATTTTTTTTTAGTGACTACTATTTGCTAGATGCTTTTGTAGGCCTTGGGAATGTCGAAGTAAACAATCCAGACAAAATTTCTTGCCCTCATGGAGTTTAAATTTTAGTGTAGGTGATAGAAAATGAACAAGTAAGTATGAAACAAGTTCAAGAATAAACAAGATAAGCAGATACAAAACAAGTTGAAGAAAAAAAGAATATTATCTCTGACATTCTTGTACTAAAATTCTTTTCAGCTAATCAACATTTTCCATTGACTATTATACACAGTAAAATTAGATCTATATACAAGACATGTAATGATATTTTCTAACAACCACATTTTTACAAATATTTAGTTTGTAAAAGGAAATGAATGGATGCTTAAATGTGGGTTTTTTATGGGGAAATCCAGATCACACTTGCCTGAAGAGTTATTTTTATATTAGTAGCTTTAGATTTAACTAAGATTATATATGTCTCTTAACTAGAAGATTGAGAAAAAGAGATAAGAATAAGGCAGAAACAGAGAATCAGAATATTCTATTCATTTCATTTAGTTCAAATAGAAACTTAAAGCCCTGTGAGGAAGTCACAAAACATACCTACAAGTACAGTTTCTTGAAATACACACCATGATAGGGCCAAGCATGGGGAGCTATGGTTTTGTATATAAAGGCCCCTAAACAAACTGATAGAGTAAGGAAAGGATTCCTTTTTTGAGGAGGGCAAAGGTTTTTAATTACTTATTTATTGAGGTATAATTGACAGATAACATTATATTAGTTTCAGTTGTGCAACGTAATGATTCAGTGTTTGTATATATTGTGAAATGATCACCACAATAAGCCTAGTTAACATCTGGCTTTAAGGATTCTTAAAGAGGCATATTCTAAGATAAGTCCAGAATGGCGAGTTAAAAAAATTAAGAGAGAGGAGGAGTTAAAAAAATTCTATAAAGAAATAATATGTGCAAAGAAATTCAAGTTTCATTCCCAGTGGTGAACATATACTCACTTTGCCTCTGTCGCTATGGAATATTTATTTAGGATTTGCTAAACATCAGTAATGCTTTGGTGATGTGATGCTGCAAAACGACATGGCATAGCTTTCAGAAAAACATACTTTTTAATAAATGGGATAAAACCAACTAAAATGAATTTACACAAAAACACTAATTTGAGTACAAAAATACATGGGCTTCATATGGACATATTTACCTGACCTCTTAAAATTATTGGAGAAAGAAAGTTACAACGCTTTGCAAACAGCCTGAGTTTAAGCCATTTGAGAACAACCACCACCACCTCAACAAACTATTTAGAAACTACTTTTGTTAGGTGAGAATAACCACCAAGCCTAACCAACCATCCTTCCTGGCCAGTAAGATACAGCCTGGCTTGCACGGCTGAGCGTATATTAAGCTCTTCCTGTGTAAGGGGAGGAGGTGGTGAGGCCACAAACCAACTTTGTGGTGAGAAACAGTCCTCTTGGCAGAATGCTCACTTCAAGCTATGACACTAAAATTGTATGTTGCCAAAGGTGTTTACGGGACAGTTGGCCAGAAATGAAAGCATGAAATGTGTGGTTATGACCAAATGAAACTTTTATAGTCTTGACTTTTCGGTAAGTGTGTTTGAATTGATAAGAGACATCTCA